TTTTAACTATAGTCCAGCCCTCCAACGGGTCTGAGGGACAGTGAACTGGCCCCCTGTTTAAAAAGTTTGAGGACCCCTGCTCTAAAGCCTTCAAAGCCCAAAAAAGTAGCCAGCCACTAACCCTATTAAAAGTGAGTAGTTTTTTGGGGGGGGGCAGGGGGGGTGTCTTTTAAACTAAAAAACAAAAACCTCATTTTCACATTTATTTTACACAAAAAATATTTCATTTTTAGCAAAACTTCTCTCTGAAAACTGGGACAGTGCAAGAATCAAGAATTCTAAAATATTAAAACAACAAGCCTCACTCTGCTAAAGAAAAAATGAGTTCTTCAAATATCAAGTTACCTATTTTGAAATTTTTATTTACATGTCTTCTATCCTTTATTACAGCTTATCATTTTTATGAACCTGACATGGAAATACTTTTGGAGAATGTACACTATTTAATGAAGCAAGGGTTACCTTAGAATTCACTACATAAAATGTTTCCAATTGGTCAAACCCACATTACAATCTCCCTTCAATATAATTTAACACTTTCCCTAGTATTTCTTCAGAATCCAATAAGAAAACAAAGACAATACAAATAAATATGATAGCATTTATATATGAAAGAAATATTCATATTATAGTAATGTAAATGTTTTATTACACATTTATTCTCACAGCTATATTATTATAATATCTAAATGTGGTTTATAAAGTGGTAAGATGCAATTTTTTGAAAGAGGCATAATAAAAAATGTATGATCAAATTCTCCCTCACTTATAAAGAGATTCTTTTAATAGCCTATAAACTCAAAAGTCCTAACTCAAGTTAATTCTGACTGACTGTGACTCTATAGGACAGAGTACAACTACCTCGGTGTGTCTTCAAGGATATAAATCTTTACGGGAGCAGAAAGGCTCATTTTTCTCCCATGAAGCAGTTGGTGGATTTGACCTGCTCACCTCGTTAGCAGTCCAATGCTTAACCCAGTACACCACCACCCCGCAAAAAAACCAACTCACTGCCATTGAGTCAAAGCCAACTCATAGTGAATAGTTGTGACAGGTAGTTTTATTGTGCCAACCTGGCCAATAGGAACATGTGGGATTAATAAGGTCACAGTTTGATTGCAGGGCAAAGAGATAAATGGCTCGGCAAGCCCATCCCTCTCTTGCTCTCTGGTGATCAGACCGTTCTCTGCCTCAACTTGTGAGCTATACTACCTGTGGGACAGCCAACCCATGGATCCTGTTGCTAGAGCTTGAGGTTCCTTCAAGACCTGTTTCGCCACGCTGCTGGTGTATACGTTGCTTGAGCTTGAGTCTGTCAAATCCACTCTGGTCGAATTCTGCCGTCTTGCACTGCTCAAGTTCGATATCCCATCCCGGTCTGCTCCGCCAAGCTCCTTGCTGACTGTTGGTGACCTGTCCTGCAGTTTGCTGCCGGAGGATGGACTGCTTGTATTGCCCTACGAAAGACTCAGCTGTCTGCTTCCTTGATCTTGGACCCAGCAGCCCTCCTGACTTGAAGGATTTCCAGTATATTAACTGTTGCATGGAAGTGAGTTGAACTGAGCCCTCTGTACTGCTGTGTAGACTAATCAGCTGTTATAGTCCTTTGTGCATAGCTACTACCTATCTATCTAGTTATAATCGTAAGTGTCCTAGTTTGTTTCTCTAGAAAACGCTAACACAATAGTCTATATAACCATATTTTCACATTCTTCTCTGCAAGTCGCTGGAGCCCTGTTGAATAGTGGTTACTCTTTGGGCAGATGACTGCAAGGGCAGCAGCTCAAAACCACCAATTTGAGAAAGATGAGGCTTTCTTCTCCCTTAACGGGTTACATCTCAGAAACTCACAGGGGCTGTTCTACTCTACCCTACAGGTTGCTATGAGTAAGAATCAACTCAAAGGCAGTAAGTCTGGTTTTTAACCCAAATGAAGTAATTGACAACCTAGAAAGTTGTCAATGATTTACCAGAAGTCAGTGATTTATCTGTGACCTCTCCAACCTGTATATATTTTGAGGGATTAAAATGGAGAATAAATAGATTGGTTATTTAAAGAACTTGACTACTAGGTGAAAGGATGGCAGTTGAACCCATCCGCAGGCACCTCAAAGGATGTGTCTGGTGGTATTAAAGTTTGCTGGGGCATTCAAAGGAAAGTGAGATAGATTTGAGTCATTATTTGATAAGGAACAAAAAGAAAGAAAGAGGTGAAAGATGTTCATATGTTTTTTTTAATATCTCAAAGGTAGCGTACCTTTATAGGATGTACTAGGGAACATAAAACCAAACACTAATAACTAAAGACTCTTGATAGAAAAAGGCTGAAATTAGGAAATGGAACAGAACTACTACAAGGATATAGCAATGTATTGCCTGTCTATCAAACTATTTAGCAGAAACATCTCATATTAATTAGAAAAGCAAAGTTGCCCACTCTATTAAAAAACCCAAGGCTCACTGCCATAGAGTTAATTCCTAATCACAGAGTACAACTGCCCTGTCGGGTTCTGAGACTACAAATCTTTAAATGAGAAGACAGCTTCATCTTTCCCTATGAAGTGGCTGGTGGGTTTGAATTGCTGACCTTTCAGTTAGCAGCCCCACTTCACCTAATGCACCACCAGTCCTCCTTATCATACAACAGGAAGACCATCCTTCAAATTCACAATCTGCTTTTTGTTTATACTCCTGGTAGCAAACTTAATTTCAGAAGGCTATAACTTGGTTGTGGGGTGCTTAACAGACGAAGGGATGTGAAAGTGAATGAACAGACATTTCACAGGTCTTCAATTTGATAATGTAAGCCAGGCTTGCCAGTATTTTCATGTGTCCGTAGCTCTTATTATTGCCCAAAAGAGTTAAAGAATTAAATAGCTTTCAGATTAGAAATAAAATTTAAGAGTGGTAGTTTAATCTATTTATTATTCACGTCTATCCTTCTAATTATCCATTTTCAAAATTATTCACTAATGATTCTTACATGAAGAATCTTACATGATTATATTCTTACATGATTCTAAAAGGATGATGTAAAATATCATGGGTGTCTTGTTGTTGGTAGCTGCGGTCAAGGCAGTTCACACTCACAGAGACTCTACGGACGATCCAATGAAACACTGCCCAGTCCTGCATCTTCCTCAACATGTTTGAGCCCAGTGTTGCGGCCACTCTGCCAATCCATCTCGAGTATTTTAGAGTACATAATTTGTGAGATCAACAATCTCAATAATTGATCCAATATAAAATATTGTTTTCCTGCATAAGATGGAAACTTTCCCAATAAAATATCTTTGAAATAAGCTGTGTTGTACTCTACAATAAAGGACAGTATGAGGGGGCTTCATACATTTTGTAGAAAAATTCCATTATATTTTAATTCCAGTTTTCCACACACTGAAACACTTTGTATAGGAATACGTTTAGTAGACTGCAAAGCAGCACAAACACAAAATAAGAAATCACCTTTTATCGGGCAACTTGGCTTATGTACCAGGCTCTTTCTAGCCATATGAACCCGGCAGTCAATGAGTAAGGATTGACCAGACAGGAACAGCTGGGGATTCAAAGTTGAGTGAGCCACCTGAGCCCTGACTATCCAATCATGGCCATGTGGGGAAGCTGAAAAGAACCTGAGCATGGAGAGTGTGAGCCGAGCTTCCTGGTTCATAACCATAGGACTGGAGACAGTAGCAGAGTGAGGTTTTAGCACATCGTCCCTCTGCACTGTGATCCTTCCTAGACCTCACTCTGTATTTTGATTCATTGTTAACTTTTTGTGTTGTAATAAGGCTGTTGCTCTAAGTGCAGTAAGGTTCTGTGAGTCATTCCATGAATCAATGAACTCAAAGGGACAGTTAGTTAGCAGAGGCTGGCACCTGCCTGGCTGGAAGTCTCACAAAAGCATCATTCTATGAGGTCTAACTTAGCTCTTCTTGGCTAGAGTTGGAGAGAGATTTAAAGTCTCACAAACCCATAGGGGGCAGTTCTACCCTGGCCTATACAATCGCTGTGAGTCAGAATTGAACGACTCAATGGTAGTAAGTGGTACTTTGAGTTATAAAATCTTTCATATGGTACTTATTGTTTTCTTGCATATTAAAATTATTTATGTTTAAATCATGTATCTTTATGAAAACATAAGGTGCTTCACAATCACAGGTGTATTTCATTATACTAAATAGCATCTAACACAGCATTTTTCAGCATTTCATATCAAGAAATAAAAAACTGTACCTTTGAAGGTAGAAATGAAAGCCTAGTAAGGACTATATTAGCTACTATGCAAACTGGCCATCATTTAAACTCATATAAGCAATTGTAATCTTACACGGTACTATGTCAGCTGCACATTCAGGACCAGCAGCAAGTAAAAGATGATATCTAAGAATAGAGAAACAGGATTTCTAAATATAATTTTTCCAACGTATTTTCCTATTTCACTAAGATCAGAATTCAAATGACCACATAGCCTTACAAGAAGGACATCCTTTTTTAAAAAATCATTTTATTGGGGGCTCATACAACTCTTATCACAATCCATCCATCCATCCATCCATTGTGTCAAGCACATTTGTACATTTGTTGCCAACATCATTTTCAAAACATTTTCTTTCTCCTTGAGCCCTTGGTATCAGCTCCTCATTTTCCCCCTCCCTCTCCTACCCTCCCTCCCTCAAGAACCCTTGATAATTTATAAATGATTATTATTTTTTTCATGTCTTACACTGACCGATGTCTCCCTTCACCCACTTTTCTGCTGGAGGACATCCTTATTACACTATTTTTCTTTAAAAAAGAAAAGAACCCTGGGTGGGTACGCATTCTACGCCTAAAAAGAGAGGCAGAAATTCTTTACAGTGACTCTTGGTCATTTAATTAAGGAAGCACCCTCTGAGGCTTACCTTTAGTAAACAGGACCGCATTAAAGGAAAGACATTTCTCAACATTCATTTAATGTGCATTGGCAAAAATAATTGTAAAAAGAAATGCTTCTGTACCTTTATATCAGAGGTGTCACGCTGACTGTTTCTCCATGCTCGGGAAATTGAGGAGAAAGTTCTATCTGCATGATCAAATTTCCCTCCTTGCAAATTTAGGAAATAAGTTGTAAAGGGTTCCTAAAAAATAAGAAAAAATATCCCATATGTTCCCTCAAGCATAAAATATAGTTTTTAATAAATCTGTATAGCTAAAACATCAAAAGGACAAAACCTTTAGTCAGTAATGCAAGAGGGCTTTAAAAACTTTGTAGAAAAATAGAAAGAAAAGATAATAGAATTCCTCCACCAACCTTTTGAAGCCCCTTTATATATGGTAGGTATAGAATGGGAATTATACCTAAATGATTACAATAATGTTCCTGTGTTATATTTCTTAACTTTAAGAACATTTATAATAAATAATTCCAAATTTTAGTATTTCCATTTTCTTCAGCTTTCTTTTTCCTAAGAAAATTTATTTATTTCCCAAGTACCCTTCAAACACACATTAGATGTTATTTTCTTCACAGTACATGGAAAGAGACCACTGTGTAAGTTTCTTATTGTTGTGGCTCAATATTTAATTTATGATTAAGAAAAGAAAAATGTTTGGAAGATTTAAAAGCCTCCTCTTAGTTAAAGAACACTTAAACACATATTAGTGGATAATTGCTTGAAATTAGCTAAGCACTATAAATTACTTCTAGGATTTATGCCTGCCTGTACCCTTCTAACAAGCTTTAATTAATGATGTGCTGCTAATGCTTTCCCAAAGAAATTACTTTCTAGTAGACAAATCACCTTTCAATTTTACAGAAACATTTCTTGTTTAACCAATATATTATCGATACATGGCAGCCTCAGAGTTGCCTACAGACATACCTTTTTCCATTTGGTGCAATTAACATTGCCGCGATATATAAATATATGTCTGTGGCAATGAAATGTTACTGAGGTCTACCTTTAATAGACGACATTTGAAAATAACCTATATAACAACTTAGAATCTAACAAGATAGCTAACATTTAAAGAGGCAAGTGTAAGGAAAAAAACTTACACCATTCCAGGTGAAATATTTTAAAAGACCTATTAAAGCAACATGCTAAATATATGCCAAACAAATTAAAGGCTTGGCCATTTAAAATTTCTAATTTTCAAAGAAGACTCTGATGATTTTGAATCATGACATACTCTCTACCACCCTGAATTTATTTAGTCATGGTTTTAATATTTAAATTGAACTTACTATTCTTAGCAGCCATGCAAGAACAAAACTTGCTGTTGAGTAATGAGTACCATAGTGGAACTTTGGAACTTGGTCATCTTCCCATGATTCATAACGCTCTGCAAAGAATGCTGCTCTTTTGGGATTCAAAGCTCCGATTGGCTGGCAATCAGGTAGAGGAGAGAGAAAAGATAAGAAGTCATAAATGCAATCATCCTTTATCTTTTCAAATGTTACCTTATTAGTAAGCATGCCAATATATCACCATATAGACACACTACTTGCTAGGTAAGTTAAAAATATTATATGCAGAAAACAAAGATTGGACCCGCTGACCTTTCGGATCTCAGAGGAAATGTTTTGAGAATGATGAGGGCAATGAATGTACAAATGCGCTTTACACAATTGATGTATGTATGGATTGTGATAAGAGTTGTATGAGCCCCTAATAAAATGATTTTTAAAACAAACACAAAAAAAAAGAAAACAAAGAAAAAAAGCAAATTTATTTTTCAAAGCAGGGTGACCATACATGGTTAACTCCGTGATACAGAAATCTCTCATTTCTCAACAAGAGGAAGACTCTCTCAACTAAGTAGACTGACATGGTGATTCCAACGATGGTGAGCATGGTGCAGGGCAAAGCAGTGCTTTGTTGGCTTGTACACAGGGTCAGAACCAACTCCACAGCACAAGACAACCGAATACTCTACCACTATTAGACAAACAAGTAGAACTGTGCTAACGTTGGTGAACTAGGATAAAAACATGCCTTCGGGAAATCTCAAAAATCAAATAGTAACAAAGTTTAGGTTTATAGATGTAGTCCAAAAAGTTGTCTATCAAAGTGGAAAAGAACCTAGGCTCAATGAAATAATAAAAATACACAGTCAGAAGGCAGCTTTAGAAGATAAAAGGAATATGGACATGCAACTCCGTATTCTTGCACATGACAAACATACAGTAAATTCTGACTACGATTTTAATCATGATCTTTTAGAGCAGAGGTAACCCTCAAAGGCCCCAAGTACACTGTGAAGCACAGAACGGGAGCTCAATGAATGCTCACTGATGGCATTATGGTTGCTGCTGCTGTTATTTAGGGAGTACATGAATTGAACTAAGTAGTATGCAAATGTTTACAGAATTATTTATAGATTTTTTTTCCTTAAAGAATATAGAGTTTTCTTAAGATTCTAAAAGAGTCTAGGGCTCAAGGAAGGTTAAGAACAACCCTAAAACATTCTGATCTTGAGGAAATCTCTATTCCTTATTCAAATTGTAAGTGCCACTTCAATGAAGGGGAAAAAAGAAGAGATGTAAGATTATTTTCTTTCATGAGATTCAGACTAGCCTTTTCCTTCACATCTTTTATAAACACCTAAAAGATCAAGGAGTAAATTACTATATATACGAGAAAGAGACATCGGAAAGAGGGAAAGAAATGTCACATTTAAAGTGGAAATTTTTAAATAAAGTAGTTCTGAAACATTGGCTTTAAAACTGACATATTTTAATACATTCTATTGAGAATGAAAGTGTTCAGACCAGCTTTTACATGGCCTTCATACAAATATGTGATTATAGTAACAACATAAATTATTTTGACTACCTTTCTTAAATTACTAAGTATTTTATTCAAAACTTCTACTTATCTTTGCTAACCATTTGCTTTTGATAACACAGTTCTAGTCAACATGGTTCTAAGTCATTTTTGCAAGCATACTAAAAAAGAAAACCTTTGGTGATTACAAATTTAAACCAAGGTCACAGTCGACTAATTTAAAATGCCATTTTAAAAACATCAGTTTCTGGGCAAAAGAACTGTATCTGATTGACAAAATTTATGCCAGTTAATAATCGAACTGACTCTAAGAATTCTTTGTTACAGAACCAAATTGGAATGCTTTTAAATGCATTTTACTCGGGGTCCCTAAAGACTGAGCCAGGCAAAAGAAAAGAAGGAAGAAATAAAATCATTGGAAGACAAATTATATGAATTAAAAATAGAATCGATGTTCCTTCTGTATGGTTCTGCAACATATTAACTATTCACTTTATCTGCTCTATTTTTATTACTCTCCAAATGAGTATCCCCCCCAAAATCAATAGTTATAAAATCACGTTTCTTGAATATAATGCTAAAACCAATTAGGATTGATTTCATTCGTGTCTGGAAAAATGGCATCATGCAGAGATCCATATAGGTGGAACCACAGTATTGATTCCGGCTGTTATTGTTACAGTTGGTGTCTGAAACCTGCTCTAGGACAGCTATCAAGACATGCCAGTTTATTTGCAAGCATATAAAAAAAGAAGTCCCCAAATAAAAGAAGGTTCTTGGGGGGAAAAATAAAAACCAGGACTCGAGAAGCTGTGCAGTGACAATGATACACTATCAGCTTACTCAGAGAAGTTACAGTGGGAATACACACATTGAATTATACATTACACGAAAGCACTGATTTATTGTGGTAATAACATCCACCTCATTAAAAGATTCTGCTTTGCTGCAGTTGGAGGGCTACATATTGTTTACTGCTATAAATTAATGGCAGTGCAAAGAAGACTGTGGAACCGTCCTAACAATAGATCTGTAATGACAGGGCTGTATATCACAGCTTCCTCAGCAGCTTCCTAACAAAATGGAGACAATGTATTGAGCTAATACATCCTACCATGCTCACTCATGTTTTTCTGACAACTGCTTTCAAAGATGAGCTGGATCCAACTATGTTATAATGCTGCGAAACATTTAACTAAGCAAGAGTCAGTCACACACCAAACGACCTCATCGCATTTTAAAAGCATTGTCTAAATCAGCATTTAAAGACGTTTGCTCATCTCTGCAAGAGAACTAAAAGTAAACGCTGATGGCTCCTCTTACTTATACAGTCTATTACGAGAAACCATTGCAAGACAGTTCAAGGAGATTCCGAGCACTACCATCATACAGAGCTCTGTGAACACTTTAAACTGTAGAAGCTACAGAAAGCTCTTTCTTTTTTTTTAATCAGCAAATTGATTAAAGGAAGAAGAGGGAAAAAAGGACTAGATATTACAAAATGGTCATAACGCGGAAAAAACTCAACAGAATATAAGTATTGATTAGAGAGTGTAAAAATGGTGTAATTCAAATTCACCACCAGGCAAACATGGGCAGTAGTCGTGGATATAGAAAAATAATTTGAAACATTACAAAAAGCTAGCAAATAGAATTAGTAAGACTTTTCTGCCTATTGAAATACAAAAAAGAAGCCTAAATACCAACAATATTTAAATTTTGTTCAAATAAATAAAATGATTTTCAAATTGGAGTATACAGACTAACAAAAGAAGCATTACCTAAATAATTAATTTATTTAAATTCCCATTAAGGTAGTAAGTGACAAAGACAGTAAAAACACAACTCAAGAAAACAGAATAGCAAAAAATTAGAATAGTTTAATAACTTCACAAATAACACGATTAACAATTATAATAGAGTGAGAAGAATTCTATGTAAGAAGTATGAAATATGTCTTTCCCAATAAGATATGCAAAGTAATTTTAAAAATCTGTTTCTTAAGTGTTATAAAACAAACATTTTTTCCTCTATTCTCTGATGATTATTATTTTAATTATTAGGGAATTAAAATTATTCCATATAAAGTACCCATCTGCCTGAAATATAGTAAGTGATTAGTAACAAGAATTATTATTATTCAGGCTATTTTACCACAACTTCTTTTAAGGCAATTAAACAGCCATGAGAGAACAGGTAGAGGGAATGATGTCAGATTCATCATCAGAAAGAACACTTCAATGCAGTCTGAGCAAGGATAATATCTATTTGCCTACAAGGAAGACCAATGAATACAACTATTACACAAATTTACACATCAGGAAACAAAGGAAAGATGTTGAAGAATTCTTCCAACATCTTCAGTGTGAAATTGATCCAGACATACGGATAATTGCTGGTAGCCAGAATGTGAAATCTGGAAACAAGGAGAAAGAATCAGTAGTTGAAAAATATAACATTGATGGTAGAAACAAAGTTGGAGATCACATGAAAAAATACATCTTTTAAACAACCTAAACAGCAACTAAATATGTAGGCCTCACCAAATAGAATACAGAAAAGTTCGATATCATCAGCCAAATCAAGGCCAGGGCCAACTGTGGAACAGAATACCTACAAGTTCATATAAAAGTTCAGGTGGAAGCTTAAGAAAATAAGAGCGAATGTACAACCTTGATTTGAGCCCACCTGAATAATGGGACCATGTCAAGAACAAATGTGACACACTGAATACTAATGACCAAAGACATGATGAGCTACGCAATGACATCAAGAATATTATATATGTAGAAAGCAAAACCATCATCTAAAAGCTAGAAAAGGAAGAAAAGATCAAAGTGGATGTTAGAACAGACTCTGAGACATGTTCTTAGACGTAGCATAGCTAAAGCACTTGGAAGAAATGATGACGTCAAAGAGCTGAATAGAATCCTTCAAAGAGAGCTTGAGAAGACAAAGTATTATAATGAAAGGGGGAAAGATCTGGAGTTTAAAGGTCAAAAGAGAAGGACACACTTAGCATATGCCACGCTAAAGAAATGAAAAAATTCAAACCTCAGGTTGTAGTATTAAAGGATTCTGTAAGTGGAATAGTGAATGATGCAAGCAGTATCAAAAGAAGATTAAAGGAATACAGAGGCGCTGTACCAAAAAGAACTGGTCAATGTTCAACCATTATTAAAAGGCAGCATCTGATTAAAGACTGGTGATATTAAAGGAAGAAGTCCAAGCTGCACTGAAAGCAATAGTGAAAAACATGGCTGTAATAAATGGCAGAATACCAATTGAACTGTTAAAAGAATTGATGCTGTGCATCCCATCAGGCTCAACTGGAAAACAGTTGTAAAGGTCAACAAATAGATTTTGAACTATTTATTTATAGGCTTTTCTTTTTTTTTTGTCGTTGGCTTTTGTTTTTGTTTGTTATAGTTCTTGGAGTTATTGTTTTAGTTTCTATTGTTGCTTTGTTTTGCTAGGTCTTCTGTTTTTGCATATTATTATCTCTGCATGTCTATCTAGATAAGATAGACGGGATAAACAAGCCAGAGGAGAAAACAATGGGAGGACAGTTCTGGGTGGGGGGGCATGGGAGAGGTGG